AATGAGCCGTGACAAATCGATAGATAAACTAAGGATTGAGAAACCCCGCCGGCCCCGTCCTCGCAGAAACAGTGCCAATTATCATGGAGGCGGCGGCGGCGGTCAGTTTCTGCTGATCCGCTTCTGTTGGTTCCTTCTGGGGGTCATCCTTTTAGCTTTATTCTTGTTCTTCTTCTTCTACGTCGTTCTGGGTATTTGAGAAACAGAAAAATCAATCATGTTCATTCACTCTGGTGGATCAATTTCCATGCACCTATCAGTTTCGAAACACTCGGGAAAGAGGCAAACTAGGGTTTTCAGCAACAAGGGAAGCGGAGATGATCAGATGATGGTGGATGGACATTGATCCATCGGATCTGTCTATAAATATATATATATATATATATATATTTATATATATAGCTGTAAGTCATAATAAGTTTGGATTTCCCAAGGGTGGTGATTTATATACTTTACTGAATTGAACTATACAAGGTTCTTTGGGTTTAAGAGTTAAATCTGATTAAAAAATCACCATCAGTTTAAAATTATTACCGCTTCATTTGTTTTTTTTCTTTTTGGTTGATGTTGAGGTGAATTTTTTTTTATTCCATTAGATCGGGGGCCTTCTGTTCATGACAGAAATAGTTTCTTGTAAGTTTATTTCTTAATATAATAGAATTCAGTTTATAGGGTAGTTTTCACGCCATTAAAATTAAGTTTTATTGTTTATGTTATACAAACAAGCTGATACAATATTTTGTTAATTAAGATGATAAAATTCGAACAAGACAAATAAATAAAGCCAAAGTCAACGACGACTTACTCTCACAACGTTATTCCGAAAAGGAAAAAAAAAAAACAATGTTTCGAGAAGGAAATTAGCTGATGAAGAAGAGGTGACAGAAGAAATCAAGGATCACGATGAGGATCCATTCACCATGAAATATGAAATGCTTGCTTCCATTCAAAATACTCCTCCGGTCCTTAATATAAGATTTAATTATTAAGTTAGTTTTGGTTCTAGATATAAGACCCATGTCTTATATTTATTAATTTTTTCTAAATTATCCTTATAGATACTCCCTTAACTATAATCAAGTAGAAGAGAAAGATGGGGTATTAAGAAATATGATTATGATATTTTAGAAAAAACATGTCACATTTCTTATAATTAACCAACTCACCTAACTTCCTTAATCTAATCAAATTAGTTAAACGGATCTCATATTAATGATCAGAGGAGTATAAGATAAATTTTATTGAAAAGATTTGGTTTTTTTCATAAGATAATATTTATTTTTGTCTAAATATTTAATAAGCTCTTTTCAATTTTACTACCCCTAACGTATATTTTCTTTTCTTTTTTATTGATTTATTACATCTCTTACTTATTCTCTTTTTTAACAAAGACATATTTGATGAAAAAAATACACGCTTTACATATTTATCATTTTAAAATAATTTTAATTAATTTCTTAATAAATGTTTATTTTATATTTTGAACAGAAGGAGTACAGTAACTATCATCACTTTCTTGAGAACCCTTTAATAATTTGGGGATAAGAGATGTGGGGTCATTGAAAGGTATGCCTTCTATAATAAGACACAATTCAGAAATAAAAATAACCCTTAGAATTGGACACCATTATTAACGAGAGTGAAAGATAGATACTCCTTTCATCCTATTTATAAATTAGAAAGAGAAGTAATTTTTTGATGCTATTTATAAGATAAAGAGAGAAAATTTTTATGTGAATGTACAATTTTACTTTTTATTTAATATTGTATTAACTTTATGCTAATAAAATATTACCTCTAGTCCTTAATATAAAAGTAATTTACTAATTTAAGTAAATAAATAAAATTAGTTATGTTAGTTATTTGTAATAAATAGATGTTATTTTTCTAAAAATATATTTGCTAATCGAGTGTATTGGTTAGGACTATCATTATTACAAGAACTATCTCAGGAAAAAAATAGATAAATATGAAAGACAAAGTGAATTGAGGTGTTATATTTAAGACCAAAGTAAAAGTCAAACGAGGTTTTATATTTAGGACCAAATAAAAGTCAAACGAGCTTTTATATTAAGAATCGGAGGTAGTATAATGTATATTAAATATAAATAAAGTTAAAAACTTATTAAAATTTAAATGAGAGTTAATAAATTTTAAAATTTTTCTTAGTATGTGTGAAACATGTTAGAAGTGACTTATGAACAGGATTAAATTAGTATTTAATATTAATATATAAAAGGAATACTAAAAATATAAACATAAAAACCAAAAAAAAAGGAAAAAGAAAAAGGAGAGAGACAGTATGGTAGGTATTTCTTCCACGTGGAAATTATATATATATATATATATATATATAACTTTTGACATTTTTTTTTTGGCAAAAAGGGGAAAAAGAAGGAAAGAGCTTGCTAATTACATCAAAGGTACGGTGACCACTACTATCTTATCTTACAATTTTTTTATTCAAAAAAGGCGCGATTAGAGTAAGTTTTTCTATGCATGTTCTAGAAAGTAATCCTATGTTTATTTAACAAATGTTTAAAAGTCAAGCGGTCTTGATTAGTTGTAATTTTAATTTTAAAACTATTTAACAAAGAAGAATAAATAGAATGACTATTTAAACCCGAATCATTATTGGCACTTAGTTTCTGGTCAAAAAGAAAAATCATTAGCACTAAGTTTGAGACGTACAATTCTCATCTCACCGAAAAATTCTCATCTCACCTTTTTAAAATTAAAAGAAAATATAGGATAAGAAAATGGTAGAGGTCATGATTTGATGTAATTAATTGGTTCTTTTTTTTTTTTTCAAGCGGCATACAATACATTTAACAAATTAAAAGAAGGGAATCTGATTTCTAGGTTTTAAATCCTTTTTTCCTTTGCGGTTCTTAAACTTATAAGTCAACCTCAACGCTTATTATTAAATGTTAGTGATTTTTTTTTTTTTTTTAGATTAATGAATCAGTTACACAAATTTGGCACTTAGTACATAAATTTGTTGGGCTGACAATATGCTCCTGTTATCATTAGGCAACAAAATTTAGTCATTAGATCAAGGGTGTGTTTGGATGAAACCAAACCATGGTTTGAAGAATAGCTTTTGGAGAATAGATTCTGAAAAGAATAGATTTTGTAAAAAGGTGATTCTGAGAAGTGAGAGTGTTTGGATAGTTGTTATCAGAAGTACTTTTTATATATACAAATTACTAAAAAAACATAAGTTAATATGATAATTATAAAAAAGATAAATTTTATAATATATTTTAATTTGAAAGAATAAAATTGTTAATAATATATTTTTTACCAACATAATTAATAATACATAAGATAATGTAATTAATAAATAATTAATATGTGTATATATGTTTATAAGATATAATGTTAAATATGTTTATAAAAAAATAATTGAGAAATGTTAAAGTCATATTATTGTTGAGATCTACTCTGACAGGCACAATCATCTCTTCAATTTGAGCCAAAAGTAGAATGAATTCACTTCTCCTTAAACCATGGTTTCAGATTATTGGCCCAAAATTGATGCTGTTTGGGTGACATCTTACCAAAACCATGGTTTTGCCTCCCAAACCATGGTTTTGAGGGTCACCTAAACAGGCCCTAAGCTGGGCTCACAAAATCTATTAAATAAAACGCATTATGATCTTATAATGAATATTGATAAATTTTATATTCATTGTTAAATTAGATTTTTATAGAAATACTGTTAATTATAGTTCATCCTTCTTCTGGTTCTTTTTCGGCATATTATAGTTCATTCTTCAAATTCTATATATGATAAAGTTTTTAGTTTATTGGCCGGGGCCAAGAAATTTATTTTTGTGCCTATACAGGTAATAGGTTGGACACACTAATAAAAGAAACCCTCCTCACTAATGGGAGTTGGGTCTAGTAGAAGGAAATAGTCATTCGCAACATGGCGAATTAATGTTCGAATATTTATTAGGAGAGGTGTCCATATTTAATGTCTGACAGTGTCTTGAATAGAATTGCTTCCAATAAGAAGATATCTATGCTTTAACAAAAAATAAAAAATAAAAAATCCCCTCCTCCTCAAAATAATAATAATAATGATAATGATAATAATATACTTTCCGGTATGCTTGGCTTGGGCAACCTTGTGGAACATAAACCCTGTTGGGCTAGCGGTCTGTCAATCTATATTGTAATTTTTGAGATAAAATAAAAAAATAATTTTAAAATTTTAAAATCTCAAATCAAGTATTGCTACAAAAATGTTGTTACTTACTTTTTAACATAGTCAATTACTATTAAGGTGTAGTAAATAAAAATGATTTGAAATTTTAAAATGTAAGAGATTTTTTTTTGGAGATTTTCCCGATGAAGTATTTTAGTTAAAAAATGCATGTCACTCTTGAGACATCTGCCTTTTTATTTTTAATTTTAATAGAACTATATATACACATATTTAAAATGTAAAATTGTGTTATAATATTTAATAATATATCAAAACCATTCTCGTTGGCGAAAAATTTATCATATATGATATGTTCGTGTTGAAATCTCGTATAAATCACACTATTACTGTAGGGGACAACCTCTAAAAATAGCCTTTTAAGTTATCCAAACTGTATTTCTAGATCGATGCCTAAAGTTGTGTGTTTTTTGCCCCCAACGACTAAAGTTATGTCAACAGTACTTGTACTGGGTTTTATATGTTTTTCACTGCGTATTTATCCTTTTTAATTTTCAATTTTTATTATAAATCTTTCAGATAAAATTCTGTTTAAGTTAATATATCCTTTAATTTTAAAAATTTCTGTAAGAGAATCATTTTAAATCAATCAACTAATTGATTAATTGATATGTGATCAATGAATTGAATTTAAAACCATTAATATTTCTGTTTAAATTAATACAGTCTTGAAAATGATATCATTATCATTATTAATATTAATTTATCGTTCCCCATCGCCTATGTATACGATCCGCTGGGAAATTCAAATTACTTGCCCTCCTTCCGAAGTTTCTGGGATGGATGGGGAGTAGAGTTAGGGCCTTTTTTGTGTTTTGCGTGGGATTTTTGTAATCTTTACCTGTTGTCCTCTTTTTCATTAAAAAAAAAAAAATCAAATTACCAAACCCGAAACTGGAATCGGTGAATCCTATGGGTAATCTTGATTCCGACGTTCCTATGGTGCCCGCCGGCGACGCTGCCGGTTCTTCTTCCAAAAAGCCTAAGCGATTCGAGATTAAGAAGTGGAACGCCGTCGCTCTCTGGGCTTGGGGTACTATTGTTTTGCCCTAACTTTTCCCCCCTCCTAATTCTCTTCTCCGATTTTCTTGTTTTGTGTCTTAGATTATTGTGCTTGGTATCGTGTGTTTGTTTGTGATTTGGTGCTCATCGAACTGTGATTGCGCAGATATTGTTGTTGATAATTGTGCTATCTGCCGGAACCACATCATGGATCTCTGTAAGTATATCTGGTTTGAAGTTTCAATTGATGGATGCTTCATGCGCCTGAACTAATTCTTTTCTATGACTGCTTCAGGCATTGAATGCCAGGCCAACCAGGCTAGTGCCACCAGTGAGGAATGTACCGTAGCCTGGGGTATGTTCTAAAACCCTGTAACACATTTCTTTAGTTTCTTATTAATGGGACTTTGTCGTGATCATGTCTTTGACATATTGATTGGAGTCAGAATAATTGCATGGTGGTTCTCTTTGATGAGTCAGTCACTTCACGTTCACTGACTTTATGATTTATATTTCTCTTCTTGAGTGAGTTTTGTGATGAAACTAAGGGTATCCTACGTCGTTATCCTACTTCCAAGTCCTTTTTAGTCTGGGAAGCATGGAATCTATCATGGGCATGTTGATACAAGGCATGATTTGGTGCATATATATATTTACAAAGTCTTGGAATGATTAATAATTAATAATAATGATGTCACTTTTCAAGACCACAGGAAGAATTTACCTTAAGGTTTGGAGTTACAGCGCATAGAAATAAATATCACTCTGAACTCCTAAATTTTTAAGTGCCCCCCTTTGCTGTGCCCCCCTCATTATCTTGGCACCACACTAAGCACCTTGCAGTATTTTTTTCTATAAAGATTACTTGATAAAAAGTTTGTTATACCATGCGATTGAAACTATACATGAAGGAATTTTGATGATTGCATCTAAATGGGATTTCCACACTCTTACTCCAGCATTATGTTGGTCTTCGTTCCCTCACACTCTTCTTTTATAACAACCTCGTTCTCTCACACTTCTCGTTCATAACAACCTCGTCTAAATTTTGATGTATGTGACACCGGACGAGTTCCGTTAGTTTGGGGTGATAGTGTTGTTTCCTAAACTCCTTCCTTGTGATATTTTTTTTTATGCTTCATGGTTCAAGATACACTCATGTATCACTTTGTTTGTGACATTTAACTGTGCTGGAGAGGGATGAAACCAGAATAAAATTTAAAAAGGGGGTGGAATGATGGAAATTTATAGCTAAAATAAGCGTTAAAGGATGCGAGTAAGCAATTTTAAGGGGGCAGATTTAGCAATTTCCTCAAAAATAATATAAATTCATTCACAATGCATATGAGACTCTCCCTCTGGGCCAGGGGGATTGCCCCTATAATGCTAAATGTAGGTCTGTTATTGGTGCTGGTGTAGTTGCATCTCTGCGTTGTTCTAACTTTAGCGGTGCTACTTTAGCAAATGCAGGATGACTTTAAACTATTGCTTTGGCTTATTTATTTATTGTTCCATTCAGGGGTATGCAATCATGCTTTCCACTTCCATTGCATCAGCCGATGGCTCAAGACCCGTCAAGTTTGTCCTTTAGGTATGCAATCATGCTTTTGTCTCCTATATTCACTGATATGTATTTATGGTTTTCCCCCCAACTTATTTGGTGTTTCTCTGTTGCTGACTTGCTGCAGATAACAGCGAATGGGAGTTTCAGAAGTACGGTCACTAGAGCTTTTATCAGGCTTCTTGAACCCTTGGAGCAGCTGCCTTACTTTTACTATAGTTGTCTGGGAATGATTTTCGTTTTGCAGCTCTAAATTTTTCACTCTTTTACTACTGTAAGGGAAGCTTTTGTCTACGTATTTGACAATTTACAAATCTATGTAGATAACAGAGTACACTAAAATTTTGATTTAGGTGGTGTTTGGGAATTTGAAAGAAGTGCCTTTTCACCCCCAAACTATGGTTTGGGCCAGATAATTTTTTAAGAAATCATGGTTTGATCCAAAACTATGGATTGCGAGGGGTAAACTATGGTTTGAGGAAAAGCCAAAAAAGTTTTCTTTTTGAAGGAACCGTGTGTCAGGTGAAATTGTTGTGTCAGATGAATATTGGTTATTATATACATGGACAAGGCTAGCAATCATGCCCTCTTATTTCCCTTTTTTCCCGTACAAGTAATATGCTGTTAAAAAAAATTAGTTGCACAAATGCTACACATACATCGATACAACCTCATAATTGTTATGCCACTTGATTATTAAAAAAAAAATGTGATCTATTTTATAAGTTTTAATTTGGTTTATCTTAATATTTAATATATTTTTTCTAATTTTATTTTAATTATTTATTCTTTTTTTTTGTCATATCTTTTTTGATTGCATTTTCTTACACATTTTCTTTCATTCTTTTTTTTTTCATTTATTATAAGAATATATTTGTAAACAAGATTATATTTCTCACCCATTTATTACTTTTAATTAATTTTAACTAATTATTTATTATTTATAAATTGGTTATTCAAAGTTTATATATAAGACTAGGGTAATTTCTTTTGTTGCAAAAAAATAATCATTTTTCAAAAACATATAAAATCTTATATTTTATAAATATATATATATACACATATTAATTATTAATCAATTGTATTTTTATATATTATTATTATGTTGTAAAAATATATATTATTAACAAATTTATTACTTCAAATAAAATATAAATTAAAATCTATTTTTTTACGTGATTATCATATTAAGAAAGTGTTTGTGATAATAACTACCTAAAAATCTTACTTTATTAAAAAATTTTTTTACAAAATTTATTTTTTAAAATCTATTCTCAAAATAACTTTTTTCTCAAAAGTCATCCTTTAAATCATGGTTTGTTTTTATCCAAATAGCTTTTTAGTTGGCAAAGAATGGCTTCAATTTGATTCTATGCCGAGCATTGATATTCCAAGTTCAGGGATGGATGTAGAATTCAACCATTTTTCCACTAAAGAACATGTTTTTAAAATTCTTAAGTTATATTACTTCCGATCCTTAATATAAGATTTCGTTTGATTTTTATTTTGATTCTAAATATAAGATTCTAATCCATTTTATTTCTCAATTTGTATATTTTTTTTCTTAAGGTAGTCCTTCTTATAATAGTAGTTTTGGCCAATACACTTGATTAGCAAGAATATTTTAGAAAAGGTAATACCTATTTATTATAAATAACTAACTTAACTTATTTTCTTAATTTTTTTAAATTAGTCAACTAGCTCTTATATTTAGCACAGGAGATAGTAATACATAAATGGAACGAAATAATTTTTTTTAATACTTTCATTTTATAATTTATGCAATTAAAAATATTAATAATCAAATTGTAATTTAATAATGTTAAGTGGAGTATCAAAAAAGGGTACAGAAGTTGTCGTGTGGTTTAATATTAATTTGTAATTAAATAATAATATTTTAAAAATATGATACATAATCATCTGTAATTAGAAAATTAAACATAATAAATATAAATAACTTGACGTAAACATTATCGTTTAATATTAAGAGATGTGGAATCATTGAAAGGTATGTGCTCTGCTCTCTACAAGAACGCAAGTCAGAAATAGAAACCTTTTTTTTTTTGTGTGTGACAGAAATAGAAACCATATTAATGAAAGTAAAAGATAGATATTTAATAGTAATGCACAGAAGGAATAATAAAGATAAACATCAAAATAAAAATTAAAAAAAAAAAAAACAGAGAAAGGCATATGGATTAGTATTAAAACATTATATGCAATTAATATTCGTATTACACAATACAACCACATGTATATATTTAGCACAAGTGTTAAATACTCTAGACCAAAAAAAAAGAAAAAGCATCGAGAGACTATAAAGACCTTGAAAATTTCAAAAGTTGAAGAGCCTCTACTGGAAAACATCTCAAGAGAAAAAATAAGTTGACCCAGATGGTCAGATGTCTGAAGCGGCTTCCACTGAGCTTCCAATTATCACACCACCGCTTGGAAAAAGAAAGAACTAATCGATCACGTCAAATGGTGACCTCCACTATTTTCTTATCCTACATTTTTTTTTAATTTTAAAAAGGAGGGATGAGAATTTTTTTATGTGCATGTTTAAAAAAGAAATACAACACTATGTTTAAGGCAAAAAAAAAATGTGTAAAGTCAAGCCATCTCAAATTCTCGATTAGTTATAGAGAATATTTAGATCGAAAACAAATTATAATTTTAAAAGTGATTTTATAATATAAAAAAACACTTTAAAAAAACACTTTTAAAATGAAAACACCCTTCTTAAACGACTTCCTGGGCCCAACAGAGTTTGTCTTCCACAAGGTAGCCCAAACCAAAATTACAAGAGGCTTTTTTAATGGGGCAGTCTGTCACGGTGCGCCCAGGAAATCTATATTGTTATTTTTGAGATAAAATAGCTAATATTACAACAATTTTTCAACATACATATTCAACAAAGTATTTTAATTAAATACTACCTCCAGTTTTTAATATAAAACCTTATTTACTTTTTTTTATCCTAAATATAAGACTTTAATTTACTTTGTTTCTCATATTTATATATTTTTTTTTCAAAGTAATTCTTTTAACAATAGTAGTTTTAGTCAATACACTTGATTAATAAGGATATTTTAGGAAAAACAACACATATTTGTTATAAATAATTAACTTAAATTTTTTTCTTAATCTCTTTAAATTAGTCAACTAGTTTTTATAATTAGAATCGGGGATAGTAATTAATATCATTCTAAATAAGTTTTTATTTTTTTAATTTTAATGAAATCAGATATATTTAAAAATATAAAATTGTGTTATAATTTTTAATAATATATCAAAATTATGATCATATATAGCTTGTTATGTTGAAAACTCATATAAATCATATTATTATTACTAAAGTACTCTTTAGTAATTTATTAGCTACAAGCAATATGCTGGAAGAATTACGGGAGAACCTCCAGAAAACCCAAAAAAACACTTCTTGTATTGTTTTTTTGGACCTTGGTTATCCAAAGTATATTTCTAGATGGATGACCAAAGTGATGTGAATAGTTTTTTTTTTTTGGCCAGAAGATGGGAATAGTTAATATTACAGCTTGTACCGGGTTTTATAATTTTTTGTATGGTTTATTGATTCCTTTTAATTTTCGATTTTGATACCTTTTTATAATATAAAATCAAGTTTAAATCTTTCAGATAAAATTCTTTTTGAATTAATATATCCTTTAATTTTAAAATTTCTGTAAGAGAATCAGTTTTTTGGCCAACGTAAGAGAATCAATTTAAATCATAATTGATTTAAAATTCTGTTTCATTTAATTTAAATCATCATTGAATTGAATCAATTAGCAAAACAATTAATTGAATTTAAAACAATTAATATTTCTGTTTAAATTAATACATCCTTGAACTTATTTCTGATATTATTAATTTTTTATTATTATTCCCTGTTGCCTATATAAACTCGCCACCGGGTAATTCTAACTGTCAAACTAGAATACTCGCCATTGCAAATTGGTAAATCCAATGGCCACTCTTGATTCCGACGTGCTGATGGAGCCCGCCGGCGACGCTGCCGGTCCTTCTTCCAAGAAGCCTAAGCGATTCGAGATTAAAAAGTGGAATGCCGTCGCTCTCTGGGCTTGGGGTACTCTTCTCTTGAACCTTAACCCTAACCACCCCCCCCCCAACTGGCTCCTCTGATTTTCTTGTTTTGTGTTTTAGATTATCGTGCTTGGTGCCGTGTGTTTGTTTGTGATTTGGTGCTCATCGAATTGTGATTGCGCAGATATTGTTGTTGACAATTGTGCTATCTGCAGGAACCACATCATGGATCTGTGTAAGTATATCTCGTTTGAGTTTTCAATCGATCGATGCTTCATTCGCCTGAACTAATTCTTTTTTATGACTGCTTCAGGCATTGAATGCCAGGCCAACCAGGCTAGTGCCACCAGTGAGGAATGTACCGTAGCCTGGGGTATGTTCTAAAACCCTGTAACACTTTTCTTTGGTCTTAAATTAAAGATGGAACTTTGTTCTCTTAGGATTTTGATATTAATGGGACTTTGTTGTGATCATGCCTTTGACATATTGATTGGAGTCAGAATAATTGCATGGTGGTTCTCTTTGATGTGAAATTTAAGAAAACGTGCACAGAATATGTTGTTGTTAGATCAGTCACTTCACATTCACTGACTTTATATTTCTCTTCTTGAGTGACTTTTGTGATGGAATTAAGGGTAATCTTCTTCTAAGTCCTTTTTAGTTATGAAGCATGGAATCTGTCATGGCCATGTTGACATTTTAAATTTAAGATGATGCAAGACATGACTTGGTGCATATATTTGCAAAGTCTTGGAATGATTAATATTTGATGATAATGATATCATTTTTCAAGACCACCGAAAGAATTTACCTTAAGGTTTGGGTTTACAGCGCATAGGAATAAATATCACTCTGAACTCCTAAAATTCTAAGCTCCCCATTTGCTGTGCATAGGACCTTGCAGTATTTTTTTCCCCCTACAAAGATTACTTGATAAAAAGGCTATTATACAATACGATTGAAACTCTACGTGAAGGAATTTTGATTATTGCATCTAAATGGGACTTCTACACACTTGTTCTGGCATTATGTTGGTCCTCGTTCCCCCACACTCCTCTTTTATAACAACCTCGTGTAAATTTTGATGCATGTGACACCGGACGAGTTCCATTTGTTCGGGGTGATAGTGTTGTTTCCTAAACACCTTCCTTGTGATTTTTTTTTTTTTTTTATGCTTCATGGTTCAAGATACACTCATGCATTATTTTGGTTGTGACATTTAAATGTGCCGGAGAGGGATGAAACCGGAATAAAATTTAAAAAGGGGGTGGAGTAATGGAAATTTGTAGCAAAGATAAGCAGTAAAGGATGCGAGTAAGCAATTTCAAGGGGCGGATTTAGCAATTTTCTAAAAAATATAAATACATACACAATACATAGAAGACTCTCCCTCCGCCTCCCTCCTTCCCTCCCTCTGGGGCAGGGGGATTGCCCCTATAGTGCAAAATGTAGATCTATCTCTGGTGCTGGTGTAGTTGCATCTCCTGCGTTTTTCTAACTTTAGCAGTGGTGCTTTAGCAACTGCAGGATGACTTTAAACTGTTGCTTTGGCTTATTTATTTATTTATTTATTTTTCCATTCAGGGGTATGCAATCATGCTTTTCACTTCCATTGCATTAGCCGATGGCTTAAGACCCGTCAAGTTTGCCCTTTAGGTATGCAATCATGCTTTTCTCCCCTGTATTCACTAACATGTATTTATGGTTTCCCCCCCACTTATTTGGTGTTTCTCCGTTGCTGACTTGCTGCAGATAACAGCGAATGGGAGTTTCAGAAATATGGTCACTAGAACTTTATCAGGCTCCTTGGACCCCTGGATCAGCTGCCTTACTTTTACTATAGTTGTTTAGGAAAGATTTTCGTTTTGTAGCTCTCAATTGTTTTCTCTTTGCTTTACTTTTGTCTACGTATATTACAATTTACAAATCTGTGTGGATAAAAGAGTTCACTAAAATTTTGATTTAGTTGACAAAGAATGGCTTCAATTTGATTCCGCGCCAAGCATTGATATTCCGAGTTCAGGGATGGATGTAGAATTGAACCATTTTTCCACTACAGATTATACCAAATATATTTTTAAATGAATTAATCAATCCATAAATCACATGGAATATACAAAACGTCTTTCTATTATTCTAGTGAAATTACAACACGGTTTTCAAATTCTCAAGTTATAATACACAAATGGAACGAAATATAATAAAAAAAGAATGTTACTCAGATTTTCTTATAATGTTTTACAAATAAGATAGAATCGTAGTAACAAAAATATGGCAATAACAAAAATGCATAATAAAAATAAAAAATATAACTAATACTTTCTTTTTATAATTTATAAAGTAGACTATAATTCATTTTTCTGATATTAAAACTGTTGTTTGACGTATAGAAAACATATTTAAGAGAGAGAAAAACTATTTCTGTAGTTTTCGTAATAAGAATAAAGTCATTTTCAATTAAGCTTTAATAAAAAATTTTAATCAGCAAATTGCAATTTAATAATGTTGATTGGAGTATAAAAAAAGTTACGAAGAGTGGTTAGAAATAGAGTTGGTTGTAGCGTGGTTCAACATAAATTTATTATTAAGTGATAATATTTTAAAATACAAGACATGTTCATGTGTTATTAGAAAACTTAATCTAATGAATATGAGAAACTTGATGCAAACATTACTTTTTAATGATTTAGGGTTAAGAGACATGGAATCATTAAAAGATATGCGCTCTGTATAAGACACAAGACAGAAATAGAAATAATTCCAGGAGTTGGACACTATTATTAGTGAAAGTGAAAGATAGATATTTAACAGTAATATACAAAAGGAATACTAGAAACCCAAACATAAAAAAAGAAAGAAAGAAAGACACGTAGATTATTATAAAAATTTAAAATATGGACAATATTTATATCAAGTTTCTTATATCCATTATGTTAAGTTTTCCAATTAAACATGGTTATATGTCCCATTTTTAAAATATTAACATTTAATAGTATTTAATTATAAATTATATGAAACCAAAAAGAATATATAATCATGTTTGATTAGATAGCTTGGCATAATGAATATAAAAACTTCAACATAACTTTTTTTAAAAAAATATTATATGTAATTAGTATTCATATTACACAATATATTTAACTCAAAGTCTCAAACTCTTGACAAAAACGAAAAAAACAAACCCGTTTGAGAGGCTATAAAGGCCTCGAAATTTTCAAAAGATGAAGAGCCAGTTACTGAGAAAGATCTCGAGTAAATAAGCTGACGCAGAGGTCTGAAGGCGTTGGCATTAAGCTTCCAGTTACAACTGCGCCACTTGGAAAAAGAAAGAACCAGTTAATCACATCAAATGGTGACCGATACTATTTTCTTATCCTACAATTTTTTTTAAAAAAATGACAAAAAAAAGTTGAAAATTTATAAATGTCATAAAAAATTTATTGTCATTTACAAATTCAGTATTTTTAATACCAAATAAAATGTTATTATCAAACTTGATTTAAAATTTAGTATTTCCACCTTTTTTTTTGTCATTCTCCCTTTTTTTTTTTTAACAAATGTGATATGAGAATAATTTTTTTATATGAATGTTTGAAAAGATAACACTATATGATGTCCTAATTAATAAGATAATACTGTATGTCCAATTATTTATTTTTGATAAGTAAAAGTTAATTGCTTATAATTCATCAGTTAAAATAGGGAGATGTTAAGTGTATTATAAATTTAAAAATTCTAAAATATCATATTTTAAAATAAAGATAAAATTTTATATACCCTTATAATTACAGTTTAATATTCACAAGCACAGTTGACAAATTACAAGAAGCAATCCACGAATCTGATTTCTAAGTTTTGAATATACGCATATATATATATATATATATTCCATCGATAATTAAATATTTTTAAGCAGACGAAATGAAATTTCTTCTTGATTTTAAACTTTAATATTATGAATATTGCATGAGTGGATGTCCATAACCCCTAACTTTTAGAATTCTCATAGGATTCCTTACCTTTAAGTGTCATAAACTACATAACCTCCCTAATGCATGACTTGGGAAGAATTTTTTATTGTTAATTCCATTATGATATTCTTTATTTCTTTGTAACCTTAGTATAAGACTCCAGTGCTTAGAGGTCTATAAATAGAGGACATGCATATAAGGCATCTATATCAAGAAACAAAGTGAATGAAAAAAAGGCCATCTTATCTATTTCTTGCTTTCTTTTCTACCTCTAGTTTATTTATTTCTTATAGCTTTACAATACGTTATCAGCACGACCTTGTTTTAAAAATTTGAGATATACACCCCTTGTAAAATGATGTATTCCAATCATCATCATATATATAATTTATACTGTTCTATGTTGTTTTATCCATGTTATACTAACTCTCATATACATATATAAATATATATAATTTATATTGTTTATATTTTCTTTTCTCTCATTATATTTGTTTGTATTTATTTATGTTGTTTATATAATTTATTTATAATAATGCATAATAATATTATATGTGATTATATAATGTGATTTATATAATTATAGCTTTATCTATTATTTATAAATTTATATTTATTTTGTTTATTTTATTGTAGCATTATCTTTGTTTTTAATTTAAATTGTTATTTTATATTAGTTAGTCTATTGTAATATTTATATATTTATTTACACCATTGCTTTCCCCCCCTCTATATATACTTGTATATATTGTCTCTATATTATATATTGTAACTAATTATTTGTGTTGTTTATCTTTTTCATTCTCATATATGTTTATTTGTTATTATTTATTTATTCATTTATTTTTGTTTATAATTTTAAAGGAATAAATTATTTATGGGTGATTTTTGAATCCTAATATTTTATTTATTATGATTCAGTGTGCATCAATTTTATTACAATTCTAATTTTTGTTATTATCATTTTAGTTTGATTCATGGACAATTTTACCAAACTTGAATTTATGGCTCTTGACATCACCGGAAAAAAATTATTTGTCTTGGGTTTTAGATGCTGATATCCATCTAGATGCTAAAGGTCTAAGAAATACTATTTTACCTAAAAATGAAGCGACTAGCCAAGATAAGGCTAATACCGCGATTTTCCTATGCCACCATTTGCATGAAATGTTGAAAGCTGAATACCTAACTGTGAAAGACCAGTTAGAATTGTGGAATAATTTAAAAGAAAAGTATGATCATCAAAAAATGGTAATTTTGCCTAAAGCTCGTTATGAATAAATGCATTTGAGGCTCTAAGATATTAACAAGTGAATATGTTGTTCATGACAAGTGATTTTATGACTTCATATCAGTGATGATTAACTTTTAATAACTATTCTCTATCACGTTATAAAAAATGGATTAGTTTTGAGGAATTAGTGATATTGTATGACGCTGTATAACATTATGTAACAAAAATCATATTTTTTTAAAATTTATATCAGCAAATTAATTGACAACTGATGGCGCAGTAAGTGACAAGGGACGAAGCATATATTGACAATGAATGGTGCGGATAATGACAACTAACTATGCATCAGAATGTAATACACAACTAATTTTCATTTATAACTTCATATACATATAACTACTGATTTTATAACCCATTAAAAAAACATATAGTTGTATGTATCCAGTATCAAACTAATTATTTGTGTGTATTGTGACATCTACAAAAAAAATTTATGTCACTTCTATTTACGAAAAAATTCTGTTGCCATCATTTGTCTAGAATCAAAGTGGCCTTTTTTTTTCTCATTTTTTTTCTTTTTGCCTCATGTAATTACTCACCCTTCTTTGTTGCCTCTTCTTCCTCTTTTTGTGACCTCCACTAACGTGTCAAGAGTACAAAAGGTAATAGCTTTTGTGTAAAAAATTTAAAAAATCAGTTAATATAAATCTGTGCAATGTTGTTACTATTGACAAGTCAAGGAGCTATATTGACAACTGTCGCGGCCCATATTGACAACATATTTTCCTATCTCATAGTAAGGGTTTCTAACTACACCAACCTTCATCTTTCTCATCAATTCCCCCTGAACCATGCCCAAACAGAGCAAGCCCACTTTCAACCCACCTATAATATACCCAGAAACAGAACACCCATAATCACCCTACCCACCTATAATAAAACCCCACCTTGAATGACCAAACACACACCAAACCAAAAATACAAGCAATTTTTTGCCAATGATTGACATTAATCGAGTGGATGAGATTTTCAGATGGGAATGGGGGAAAAAACAGAATGAAATTTGGGGTTTTTTCCCTCTTGCTTATTGTATATGGGGTGTTGATTTTCAGACTGAAAAATAGGGCAGCTTTTAGTTAGTGTGGGTGCATCTCACCAGGGACAGATGTGTCTTTTTACAATTTACCAAATTACACTCAAGTCCCTTTAGAACTTTAGAATCATTATCAAATTTCTTGGGACTCTTTTATAGTATTTTGTGTTGTACGGGGACTTCAATATTATTTTTCTAAAGAATAATCACATCAATGTTAATGCCAACGTATCAACATAAAGTATAAAATTTATATTCACATCATTTACAAATCATGAATATTATTGTCCATTCTTCAAATTCTATATATGACACAGCTATTTCAGTTTACCGTCCTGGGGAACAGCACACCAATGAAAGAATCTCACCGGTCATCGGCTCTCTGATTAAACAAAAAGGAAAAAAAAATCTCACCTCCTCCTTAAAAAAAGAAAATCACCTTTCTGTAATTTGGTCTGGGCTACAAACTCTGCGGGCCGAGCAGTCTCTCACGGTGGGCCCAGGAAATTTATATTACTTTCAAAATATAAAATCTATTTGGCAGTATAAATTATATTAAAAAATAAGTTTTTTATTTATGACCGAAGAAGTATTATTTTTGAGATAAAATAGCTAATATTACAGCATTTTCTAAAGAATTTTTTGTTTTTATTTTTATTTTTAATGAAGCTATATATATTTAAAATATAA